CGGGCGTTCGGGCTTTTAGAGATCGGGCGGGCCGTTGTAAATAAATGACTTGTGGCTTTTGCAATCCACTCTTATCCACCCCATGTCTGCTCGTTTTGACTTCCAAGGAAATGAGTTCCCTAAAGTTAGGAGAGGGGCTCGTTTGGAGCCTGAGGCTGTTTTGTTTTGAAGGACTAAGCCTATTCTGAACCTGAAGCTTCCAGACAACAGGGCCTAACCCAGACACCAAACACCTTGTTAGGTGCCCAGCTAAGCCAGGACCTCCCCAATCTGGCTCCTCCTCCTCCGTGTTTCAGGAACAAAAACTTGAGGATGTGACTGCTCGCTGGAGGGAGCAGTGCTCTAGGCCTTCACAGCTCCAGCCTGGTTGGGCGGGAGCCAAGATAGAGCGTCTGCTCCATGACCTCCCTACAGTACAGCTCTTGAGATTAGCAGCTGGAAAAAAAGGGCAGGAGGATTTCTCAGTAGAGGGCCACGCTGCTGAGGAGGTTGGGCTCTCCACTGCTTGGAACTGGACAAGGTGCACGCAGATTGGTGGAAGGCATTTTGCAAACAGAGGCAGCTGATTTTGGAGGCTCTGATGCAGAGGGAACTGGAACTGCTTGGGTGGGCGTGTGCCTGCTAGTCATACTGGGAGGTGTCAAGGACCTTGTCTCCATCCAGAACTTTCCCTGCCCCCGTGTCAGGCTGAACAGGAGTCCCGATCCCACTGGAGAGTTCTGCTGAACTGTCTTGTAAGGGCACAGCTCCTACTCAGTCTAATGCTACTGTGACATTCTAGCAGGATCAGGACTTTTTTTTTTTTTAACACATGCATGAGTAGGCGTTTTATGGTGTGTTCTGTGAAGTTTGTCATTTTGAAAGCCTTGTCTCCAGCCCCTTTCCTCAGTGTACACAGGCCACTATGTTTACAGTTTCCTAGTATTCACCAAGCAATATTTGCCCCCTCCCCCCAGTCCTAATATGCTGTCCTCCTGGCAAGGTAGAACATAGGCTTGAAAAGCATCTTCCTTGTAAAACTGTTCTACTGCTGCTTCTGCAAGCTTTTTCCAGACAGCCTTCACCTTGGAAAGGTGCGCCTACTTTCTTTGCTGGTTCCATTTCCTCAGCTCTTCTCACCTACCTTTAGTTTGCAGTGTCTGTTAAGTGTAGCCTATGTTCAGATAAGTGTGAGGTTTAAGTTTCTGCATCACCTTTTAAAAATTCACATCTTTGAGCCACCTGACTAGAAGCCGTTTCCTTCCTGAGGTTTTCTTGTGCACAGAACCCTGCAGAATTGCTGCCCCTGCACCTGGACAAGAGAGGGAGGGGATGTGGGGAGGGCTTTCAGGTTGTAGGTACATGCAGAATGCCTGACAGTAGAGCCCTGCAGAAGTATGGAACTATCCTGAGGCCACATAGGAACTGTGACTGGGATGAGGACAATCTTGAGACTGCTCAGCCCCAACCTTGCCTGAGGGACTGGCCACCTAGAGGGTGTCTGAATGTTTGCCTGTCCAGGAACACAGGAAGGGGAGATGCATTGGTGGGGCCTTATCCCACACTTATCCCCTCAGGTGCTTCATTTGGTAGACAAGCTGCCCATCTCCAGACTCTGTAGATGCAAGCAGGAACTCTGTGTGAGAAGTGTGCCCTGGAAACTAGGCTAAGAGCTGCACCTGGTATTTTATTCTACCTCCTCTCCTTAGGGGTTGTGACTCGGGAGAGTCACCCTGTAGGCAAGCAGTGTTCTTGAGACTTCTTGCATTCTTAGAGGAGAATGAGCACCTTTCTGTCTACACCAGCATCTTCCTTGAAGACCTGCTCTTCCCAGATCTGCCTGGGACACTTTCCCCTTTTCCCAGTGTGGCCTTGCTTTCCCTGTGGGTTTCTTTGAGGTACAATTCAGTGTTGTATAGTTTGCTCATTGAGATTGTGGACACCAAGCAAAGCATGGTGGCTCATACCTGAAGGTTGGTAGCATTCCTAGTATTTGGAAGGCTGAGATAGAACAATAATGAGGCACAAAGTGAAACCTTACGTTAAAATTTTTAGAGTTTTTATTTTTTGTTTATGGGCATTTTGCCTGTGTGTGTGTGTGTGTGTGTGTGTGTGTGTGTGTGTGTGAACGCATGCACACGCGCATCGTGCATGCACTGCCTGTGGAAGCCAGAAATGTTGTTGGCTCCCCTTAGGACTACAGTTACAGGCAGTTGATAGCCGCCATGTGGGTGCTGGGAATCAAACCAACATCCTCTGAAAGAAAAGCCAGTGTTCTTAGCCAGTGAGCTACAGAGCCATCTCTCCAGCCCCATGTCTTAAAAAAATTTAACCCATTATAATGTTGACTAGAACCCATTGGTTTCTTATTGTGTTTAGAGTTATACAACCTTTAGCACCATTTAGAACATTCCTCCGGTCAAAAGAGAAGCCAGTGCTCACCTCCCTCCACAGTCTCGGCAGATACTCACCAGTTTCTCTCGCTCTCTGGATTGGTCCATGCTGCACATTTCATATAAATGGTACTATGAAGTACATGACATTTGTGTCAGGCTTCTTTTCCTCAGTATTCCACTGCAAGGTCTGCCTCCCTTTTCATGACTGAGTGACATTCCTGCACAGCTTTGTACACCCTCTGCCTAGTGATGCACACCTGGGTTCCTTTGTGAACACTGGCATGTAGGTTTTCATGGGGCCCCATTATATGCACTATCAAACCAGCACCGGTAGGGATTGGCTGGCTGTCCTACTCATGAAATCTTAGGGCCAGTGACAGAGACCATCTTGAACTACTTGCTGGGGCCCCAAGGGCTGGGTGTGTGGTTGCTGGTGCCATCTCACCCTACTCTGTGGGGGTGAGGTAGGTGACAAGGAGCCACTTTTGACTGCAGAAAAGTGCCTCTGAGAATCCCTTCATGGTTGCTGGTGTCAGGTCTCAGGCTGACCTTGCCAGGTGGTGGCTCCATCAAAAACGAGAGTGCAGGAACTTTTGACACTGCCGTCCTCATTGCAAAGGGACCTTTTCTTGAGATCTCATAATGCCAGAGGGACATTGACTAAGTCATCCACAAATTCAAGAAGAGTCTCACATCCCTTCTGACCAATGTGTCTTCTCATCCCCAGTCCAGAGCCTGCTAAGAAGCCACAGAGGAAAGGAAAACTTCACACTGGCTTCTTGCAGTCTCCTCACAGTCTTTGAAGTTGCCATCTTTCTGGAGGCTGAGTCAGTTTTCCTTCCTCCTATCAAGTGCCATCAGCACTTGTGATTCTGTGCAGAAATCACACTTTTAAACTGTGAGCTTCCATATTAAACCTGGAATCTTCACTCAATGGACCCATATCAACAGACTCAACCTGATCCAGTTTTATGTTCTTCCACGTTATCCCTCACCCTTAAAATCATTCCTACACTTTTCCAAACTTTTGCTTGAATGAATTAGCAAACTCATTAAGCTCTTTAAAGTGTAATACACTTCCTCATGGACTACAATTTCTGTCTCTCCTCTAGGAGCATGTAAATGTACTTTTATACTCACTTAAAAACTTCAGTCTGGTTGTAGGTCTAGAGGCACCTATTGATAGGCCCTGAGAGACATCAGTACTGTCTTACCTGGCATCTCATTCAGAGAAAGTCACTGCTGGTTTAGCAGACATTGGAGGATTTCCTCAGTCAAAGGTGGAAAAGGCAGTATTTCAGGGGGTTGGTGGAAGTGTATCTTCTGTTGAGGGTGGAGAGGCTACTTCCTCAGGTGAGATAAACCCTTAAGAATCTGAGGGTCCAAAGTTCTCAGCTTCAATAGGGTCCTCCCACACATCTCCATCCCAGATTACAGGATCCCATTCTTTACCAGTTAATGCTGACACCCTCAGTGGTTGAAACTTCTAACCAACCTTCTAATGAGGTTTGATTTTTCTGCAATTTGAGCTCTGTGGCTGCTGGACAGAAGCTGCTCTTCCAGGACACAGACAAACCTTTAGACTGTATGCACATCTGGAGCTGGTCAATTTATTACTGATATCATTGTTGTCCTTTACCATATGAGATGCTGGAAGTTGGTTAATTTTACCACAGAGCTCATTCTTTCCCCTTGTCAATTTATCCAGAGATGCTAGGAGCAACTAACCAACACTCTCATTCCCCTTATTTTTCCACAATTGCCGCCAAATCCATTGCCTCTCACAGTGAATCAGGATAATAAAATCCCATTTATCTCCTTAAGTTTATAAAACAGTTTGCACCATGAACTTTCAGTACTCTCTAAGCTTTTCAGTAACTAGGTTTTGGCAAATTGGAAATCCTATTCCAGATACTTAAAAAGTTCTTCCTTATACTTCTCTTGCTTTAAAACCAATTCTGACACCAATATCTGTATTAGTATTCTCTAGAGAAACAAAACTTATAGAATGAATATATATATATATATGTACATATATATGTGTGTGTGTGTATATGTATATATAACTATAAAGGGGATTGATTAGAATAGCTTACAGGCTATGGTCCCAACAATGGCTATCTACCAATGGAAAGTCCAAGAATCCAGTAGTTGTCATTCCACAAGGCTGGATGTCTCAGTTGGTCTACAGTGTATGCCAGAATTCCAGAGAGGCTCTAATGCCAATGAAGGAATGGACTTGCCAGTGAGGGCAAGAGCAAGCAGGCAAAGAGAGCAAGCTTCCTTCTCCCATGTTCTTTATATAGGCTGGCCCAGATTAAATTCCCACCTCAAAATATCTGGATTAAGTCTGGGTGGTGGTGGTGATGGTGGCAGTGGCGCACACCCTTGATCCCAGCACTCGGGAAGCAGAGACAGGCAGACTTCTGTGAGTTTGAGGCCAGCCTGGTCTACAGAGCAAGTGCCAGGACAGGCTCCAAAACTGCACCGAGAAACCCTGTCTCAAAAAACAAAACAAGCCTGGATTGAAATGCGGTCTTCTGCCAGGCCCTTAATCCCAGCACTCGGGAAGCAGAGACAGGCAGACTTCTGTGAGTTTGAGGCCAGCCTGGTCTACAGAGCAAGTGCCAGGACAGGCTCCAAAACTGCACAGAGAAACCCTGTCTCAAAAAACAAAACAAGTCTGGATTGAAAAGGGGTCTTCTGCCAGGCCCTTAATCCCAGCACTGAGGGCACAGAGACAGGTGGATCCCTTAGTTAGAGGCCACCCTGGTCTACAGGGCAAGTTCCAGGTCAAAAAAACTCTGTCTTCAAAAACAAAACAAACATGGGTCTTCCACTTCAAATGATTTAATTAGGAAGCTGTCCCTCACAGGTGTGCCCAGCATTTGGATTGTAGTTACTTCCAGATACAGTCAAGTTGACAACCAGGAATGGCCATCAACTTGCACAATTACACTCCATTCCTTTTTGTTCCCCACTGGTATGTGTATGATGAATAGAAGATATTACAAACACCAGCTGGGGGTGGGCAGGCGAGGACAAAATTCCTGCTGCTGGCATCTGGGAACATGGCAGCAAGAGATTGGGCCCCTACCGGTCCTCAGTGCCCCATGTTTGTGCCCAATACTTAAGCCAGCCTAAGCACAGTCCCTCCTGTCACCAAGCTTTGACTCATAGGATACAAGAACCCCCTGCTGCCTAGGACCCTGTCTCAAGGCTGGCCAGCTTGACCATGTAGTGAATCAGGGCTCCAGGCCTGGCATTTTGTTCCCTGCAACCATTAGTCACTTTACTCCCTGGCCCCCTGGACTGATACCCTGACCCCTGAGGTTTTGTCAGTCACCACATGATTTTGTGACTTTCAGGAGAGAAGTGGGCATTCTGCCCCAGAGATGCTGTTCTCGGGGTACAGGCTGAAGGGGGTACACCAAATACAGGAAGGCTGTACTGTCAGAAGAGACAGCCCACCTCTTAACTATGTCCAGTTGCGGGGTGGGGGCGTAAGCATAAGATTATCTCCAGAACTATTAGTAGCAATTGGGGAGCCACTCTGTACATGCTGGCATGGAGGAAGTAGCCTCCGGTCCATGTCACCTGCAGGTTCTGCGGGGAGTGCCTCCAGCCATGTCTGCAGGTGCCATCCCCTCTGTGCCCGCTCTGCCGTCTGCCCTTCGACCCCAAGAAAGTGGACAAGGCCACTCATGTAGAGAAGCAGCTCTCATCTTACAAGGCACCCTGCCGGGGTTGCAACAAGAAGGTACCCGCCCTGCTCAGGTTTCCTAAGGCTGGGGGGCTCTGGGTGGGGCAGCTTCCGCCCATGGGTCCCACTCTCCCATAGAGGAACTGGGTGCATGGGCTCACACCCCTTCCTGTTGAGTAACCACATCTGCTCCAGTGTGAAACCACCTGCCAGACCCTCTCAGAGCTCCAGGGGAGCAATGCTGTCACAGCTGCCTGACCTAGGCTCAGCTGACTCTGCATCCTGGCTGATGCAGATCCCGCAGATGCAGACTGAGCACTCAGGCTGTAACAGACAAATCTGGGGAAGCAAAGAAGGATCTGGGGCCTTTGAGGTGGCAGGTGCAACCAGACAGAGTCAGGGCCTTTCAAATATGAGCTCTTTGTACCTGATGCCACTGTCTGTCCTGAGGAGAATGGCATGAGCACTGTTCCCTTTGTCACCACAAAAGATTCTGCCGCTTGTGTTGGGGCTTAACAGGCCTCTTTCCATCCTATCCCCAGAGCCTGCCTTGCTCCTACCTTGTCCTTTTGTTCCCAGGGAAATAAGCATCTGTGAGTACACTTGCAATTTATGTTGCAGACATCCCTGTGTCTCTATAAATTGTGTTTGTGTTAACTTGTCACAACGTCCTAAAGGTCATCAGGCAGATGAACTGGTACTACCTGGGCCTGGAATAGTGAGGCTGTGTTAGTTGCTGTGGTCCTCCTTGGTGCTAGGGTACCCTAGTGATACTTTCCTAGGGAGACTTGAGGTCAGAAAGCCTGTCAGTGTCACATGTGAAGTGACATTCCTCACTTGAACACCTCAGTTTCCAAGCTATCTTCTGAAGCAAATGTCCCTGCATGGATACCTAGCTGTGACGATGACTCAAGGGGACCTTCTTGGACCCCTGCAGGTCTTGGGCACAAACTCTGGATGCTGAGGACATGTGCTATACCCACCTGCCAAGGCTGGTGTATTAACATGACCTCTTTCCCCCTCGGTCTTGTGAAGTGTCTTCCCCTGCACCGGGGACAGGGAAAGGCTGGCCATGGATTCTGTTCTCTCTTCTGGGTTACTCATTGAGCCCATGTTGGGATGAGCGCTCCCTGATGAGCATCCTCTGCCAGTTCCCCATCCCTTGCCTTCAGGCCAGGCTGCTGCCCTTGGCCAGCTTACTCTGGCATGGTGGTGACTTGATATGGCCAGCTGAGTGGTAATTATCACACTACATTGTGAGCTTCACCACACAAGGCATTTTGTCAGAGGAGGTAGTCTTTTCACTGGTTTCCCCCTGGGGGGTGTGAGCTTTTTTTCCTAATGAGCATGGATCCTGTCTAGTCATTGGAACAGCTTCCCTGAGTCCCTAGACCTCTCTCTGTGACTCAGGCATGGGGCCTGCTAGTCCTGTCCTGGGGGGTTAGTGGCCTGCACCTGCTCTATCCAACTACCCTGAGAGCCATGAACACTGCTGTGTGCTCTGTAGAGACCCTTGTGTCTTCTTGTGTTATCTCTTGTTCACCAGGGTCCCTTCCAGAAATCCCCATTGTAATTTACTGCTCAGAGCCTTTGATTATTTTAAGAGCAGAAGGGATGGATCTGATGCTTTTGCTAGTCATTCTCTGTCCCTGCTGCCTGAGGTCATGACCTGCCCAGTTCTGCTTCTCCTCTCATCTCATAGGTGACTCTGGCAAAGATGAGAGTGCACATTTCCTCCTGCCTGAAGGTCCAGGAGCAGATGGCCAACTGCCCTAAGTTTGTCCCTGTGTTGCCCACATCCCAGCCCATCCCCAGGTAGGCAGCCTTCAGAATGGGGACCCAAGATGGGCAGAGTGGGGGTACTTCTTAGGCCAAGGACCATATAGTCATCTCCTCGCTGTCATGGACATATCCCATTAGTCTAGTGTGTGGGATAAAGGAGAGGATCAGGAGTTCCCTTACACGGCATATGGTCCTTCTTAGGCTGCAGGGGATGGGTCAGGGCCAGCCTGTCCACAGAGCGGAGGGTGGGCTTCAGGAGGAGTTGGGTTGAGTACTCTCTGCCCTAGCTTCGCTCAATGTCCTCCCACCCCCAGCAATATTCCCAATCGGTCCACCTTTGCTTGCCCCTACTGCGGAGCCCGCAATCTGGATCAGCAGGAGCTGGTGAAGCATTGTGTGGAGAGTCACCGCAGTGACCCCAACCGTGTGGTGAGCATCAGCAGCACAGGGCTTCTGCCTGAGGGAGACCGGGGGGTCAGGTCTGGGCTGGGGAGAAGGACACACAGTATGTCCTTTAGGTGGTGGTGCTCTGCAGGCCATACTATGGTTGGGTGGGTGGGCAGGCAGCCAGGAGAGAGGCCCACTCCCTGCTACCTCCAATCTCTTTGTTCTAGGTGTGCCCCATCTGCTCAGCAATGCCCTGGGGGGACCCCAGCTACAAAAGCGCCAACTTCTTGCAGCACCTGCTGCACCGGCACAAATTCTCCTATGATACCTTCGTGGTAGGTACCCCACCTAGCTCCTTCAGGGTCTCCTGCTGGGCTATGACAGTGCCAAGACTCAGTGACCACTGGAGGGCACCAGGCATCCAAACTTGTCAAGGGCTTGGACTTACATGAGGCCAGCTGCTCTGGGTCACTCTGGGCCATCTGAGGCAGCAGTACCTTGGTTTTGTAGCAGCTTCAAAGACTGAGTCCCTGGTAAGCTATTTACTTCAAGGTTATTGTGAAGAGGAGCTGGAAGGGTTTTCTCAGGGGCAGCTGCCCACCCCGAACTGGGTCAGGAGGGTATAGCCCACTTACAGGCCCCTCACCCAGGCTTTTCTAAACATCCCCCATGTATCCCATCACCTGCATCTTCCAGCCAACTAGGTTTTCTTTCCTCCTGGTCCCCAGGGCTGGAGAGCATGTTGCCCTGACTGAACTTTCATCTCAGAAACTCCAGTTCTTGGCTGAGAAAATGGGTCAGTGGATAAAGGCTCCCGCTGCCAAGCCTGGCAACTTGTGCTCAATCCCTGGAACCCATAAGTTAGAAAGTCCTCTTACTTTCTTTTCTTTTTTTAAAAGATTTTATTTATTTATTATGTATATAACATTCTGCTTCCATGTATATCTGCACACCAGAAGAGGGCACCAGATCTCATAACAGATGGTTGTGAGCCACCATGTGGTTGCTGGGAATTGAACTCAGGACCTCTGGAAGAGCAGTCAGTGCTCTTAACCTCTGAGCCATCTCTCCAGCCCCAGTCCTCTAACTTTCAAACCCACATTATGTCACACACATGCCTGCACATACACACACACACACACACACAAAAAAAAAAAAAAAAAAAAAAAAAAAAACTAATCTGTACAAAGGAACGGATTCCTACCATCTGAAGGAAAAACCAACTCATTCATAAAACCGCTCCTCATGGTCACAAATCTGCAGACTACTGACCTGCAATATGATCCTAGGATAACTTTGGGAAGCCACTGGGGAAGAACTGGGAGCTGTAGGGCTATAGCATCCCAAGGCATTTTTTGAAAGGCTTGGGATCACAGAATGTTATTGGGGTGGACTAGCATGGAAAGTGGTCTAACTGATGGGAGCCATCTGGTCCTCCCAACCCCCCCCCAACTTATCTCTGCTTGTTTCTAGGACTATAGCATCGATGAGGAAGCCGCCTTCCAGGCTGCTCTGGCTCTGTCCCTCTCTGAGAACTGAGGCACAGCTTGGCCACCTGCCTCAAGTCTGGGGCCGAAGACACAATCCCGCCTCAAGGGATAGGGCGGTTGCCCTCCTGCCCTGACACCTGCACAGGAACACGCCTCACTGGGCTAAGTGGAATTTCACACAAGGAGAGCTGGTCTCAGAGCTCCCAGGGCTGGGATACTGGCTAGCTGGCCCCTTGCCATCAAGCAGGGCCACTGGGTCCTGGCCGGCAGCACTGGGTCATCGGTGCTTCAAGAGGCAGGTGCTGGCCGTTGGGTTAGAGCAGTTGGCTGCCTTTCCCAGCCATGATGTCCTCGTGTGGGGAAGGATGAGGTGCCCTAAGCTGTGCCCCAGCAGGACTAGGGGAGGAGGCGCCTAGCCAGGCTGCCAGCCCACCCAGTCCCCAGCTTCGCTTCCACCGTAAGCATTTGGTACTGGCTTTTGTGATATTTAGGAATCCTGCATTTTTCTATCTTATCCTGTGTGATAATCTTTTCACGTTTTATAGAGCAAAGACAAAGCAGTTCCTCTTCATACCGCAATACCTGTGTTTGACTAGGAAGAACAGTATTTTTATGGAGCATTTACAAAGTTATATTTTTTAAAAAAAAATAGTCAAAAATAAACACTTGTGTGGGATCAGTGCAAAGTGGGAAGGAGGGTGGGTGTAGCCAGGGCTTCATCTATGTGTGAGAAAGAGGTGGTGCCCCCAAGCCACTTGTTCTTTGAGGAGGAGGCTCTTGTTTGCTGTTTCTTTATGATGATGACCCAGAGGACATCCTAGCACCCTGGCCACTTGCTGCTCCCAGCAGATGTAGGACAATCCAGGCAGAAGGGGACTCTTCTCCTGCCCCAGGAACTGTCCATGGCTCCCTGTCACCTTCCAGAGCCAACCACATCCCTCCTCAGGCAGGGACTGCACTTAACCAGTGGTAGAGCCCTCAGAGGCCAGAGAGGCCTTCAAGCAGGCCAGGCCAGAAAACATTTGTTGGCATTTTGTTCTGTTCATGGCATAAATTGCTGTCTTTTCAAAAGAGTTTAAATAAATTGTTTCCAAGCATCCACAACAGCCCCGGTGCTGGGTTTTACTGTCAGTGTCAGCTGGGGGCTGCCAGGCTCCATAGCTCTTCCTTACCTGAAGGTGCTTTTTCTCTGATAATTGTACCACTGTGTGCCCTTGGTCACCTTTTCCCCGGCCTTTGGGTGGCCTACAGAGTGATGGGGACATTAGCACCAGTTCCTTTTCTCATAGTCTTTGGCTCCAGTTTCTTACTACTCAGAGGCTGGATCCCGGATCCTGTGAGGTAGGCCAGCCATTATGACTGTTCCAGGGGCCACCTCCCAGGCACAGGGTGCCTTGCTGTCATTTCACTCACCAAGGGTTTCTAATAGCCGAGGAGAGCTGAGTATGGTAGCTCATGCAGGGAATACCCAGCACTCAAGAGACTGAGGCAGGATTTCTATGAGGCCAGTCTATGCTACATGGCAAGCTCCAGGAGGTCAGTAGGGACTACACATAAGACCTTATCTCAAAACAACAACAATGAATAAAAGCTGAGGAGTCACCTGGCAGCCAGGTTCATCACAGCAGATGATATGGGTCGACTGCTGGCTGCCTTACTATCCCACTTTGTTCTGTTGTGGCACCCAGTGGCAGGTCTCTGTTTAACAGTTCATACTTAAGTGGACATGGGCAAGCAAGTCAAAGCCTCCCACCCATAGGCTATAACTTGAGAGGGACTGGCTGCAGACAAACATATACCCTGTGAGAAGCAAAGTCACCTTCAGTCTTCCATCTGGGAAGGTTCCTGTGGCTGGGGGCGTGTCAGGTTGTGGGGTGAGTAGTACTGCCCAAGGCTCGCCTCCCCTTTGATTTCCAGAAGTGGGCCCTCTCTGAGATATCAACTACATCTGAGAGCCCTCAGATCAAGGCTGGTCTGTGCTCATCCCCTGGCTGCACATATAAGCCTACCACTTCTTGGGCAGGCACTCACTGTTCCAACAGGAGCTGAAGTGGTGCTCTCACAGATCCAGGCCTGTGCTATGACTGACACAGTGACACAGGGAACCATCAGAGGGCATGATCTCGATCTCTGGGTGCACAGGAAACATTGGAGGCAGCTGCAGGCCACTCCCAGTAGGCCGTGACCTCAGCAGCAACCTTGTACTTGAGACGCTTCCTGATTTCCGTGGTACTGCCCCTGTGGAGGCCACTTGCAAGCCCAGTCTCTAAGGCTCCCCAAAACTGCAGAGTCTGTACACCTGTGGGGGTTGGAGAACTCTAGGGGAGTGGCTGGTTGTAAAGTCATGGTCACATGTTACATGTTGGTCAGGGGTACAGGGAAGCCTGATCTCCCAGGTTGTGTTCTGCTTCCTGGACAGCACAGGCAGTAGATCTTGGGACTCACCGGATCAAGTGTGAGCTCATTAGCCCCTTGTACACTGTGGTATATGGTCTTATCCTTCAAGAAGCTTGAAGGAGAGGAAGAGCCACACCCATCTATACTCCTGCTGTTGCTAGGAGCAGAAGCAAGGGGCAGGAAGGGATTCCTTTCCTGTGTCCCACATGACTAGCTACTTTTCGAGTACATGGTTCCCATTCACTTGGATAGATGACAAACCTACCACAGGTTAGCAAGGTGTGGTAGTGCACCCCTTTAATCCAATCATTTAAGAGGCAGAGGCAACACAAACAGCTGACCTGAACAAGGGGGAGCTCATGGACCCCAGACTGATTGCTGGGAAACCAGCATAGGACTGTTCGAGACCCCCTGAACGTGGGTGTCAATGAAGAGGCTTTGGCAATCTGTGGGGCTTCTGGTAGTAGATCAGTATTTGTCCCTAGTATATGAATGGACTCTGGGAGCCCAATCCACATAGAGGGATACTCTCTCAGCCTAGACACATGAGGGAGGCCCTAGGCCCTGCTTCAAATATGACAGACTTTGAAGATCCCCATGGAAGGCCTCACCTTCTCTGGGAAGCAGACAGGATGGGATAAGGGGTTAGTAGGGGGCAGGGGAGGAAGGGAGAGAGGGGGAACTGGGATTGGCATGTAAAACAAGCTTTTTCTAATTTAAATAAAAAAATAGAAAAAAAAAAGGCAGAGACAAGTAGATCCCTGTGAGTTTGAGGCCAGCCTGGTCTACAAAGTGAGTTCTAGGACAGCCAGAGGTGTTAGACAGAGAAACCCTGTGTCCAAAAACCAAAACAACAAAAACCTAACCTACCACAGGCACAGCAGTCCCTGAGTGAAAAGAAACAACGAAAAGTAGGTATCAATCTCATTACTTGCCCATACCTCCCCAAATGTGTCCATTATTTCTAGAACACCCCATGATGAAATTTTTCTGGACTTGTAGAACTCCTGATTCCTTTCTTTGATTTGGTTCATGGAAGCCCTAAGGCTGCCCTTCAAGGCTGTAGGATATGATATGACAGACACCTCCTGTGCTCAGAAGGGCCTACACCCTTCTCAGCTCTGTGTTTGAGTTTTGAGGGTAGTTACCCCCTTAGCAAAGCCATGAGGTAGCATCCATCTGAAGATACTACCTCAGTCTTGTTCCCCTATTGGTCTGGGCACCTTCAGGTGACTCCACATCTAGGTGTTTCTGGAGGGACATCAGAGTAAACCCCAAGCAGGGTAGGAAATCCAGACAAGGCAGATGTCAGCAGATCCATGCCAGGTGAAGCAGTCTTAGATTCAGAAAGTAGCCAATATTCCCTTGTATTTTCGGAAGGAAAAAAAAAAAAAAAAAAAACCTCTTTGGAGACAAGTAACTAGAATCTGCAATACTAGTGGGGTGCCCCTTAGAACAGAGGGGCCACAACCCTTCCTGAGAGTATTACACACAAACCTACTGCCATATAGTCTGCCAGAGGGAGGGACAGAATAGTCTCCCCAGGCCATGAGCAAAGCTAATGGGCACAATATCTGCAAGCAGGTACCCCTGTCCTTAGATGTGGCTCACGTCTAGGCTGGAAGTTCAGCAAGTTAGGGTCTTTCCCCACCTTGGACTGTTCTATAAGTAGTAGGAAGCCACCTGGGTCTCCTGTCACCGACCCCCCCACACACACACTCAACCATCCTCCCCCAGACCATGCTGCTATGCCCTGTGGCATCAAGGGCATCGGAAGCCTGGGCAGGCAGCAACATGCCCTTAGTTTCACGTTATGCAGCAGCACCAGAAGCTAGCACCCTGCTTCCTAGAAAGCACCCTGATCACAGGTTCCTGGATCTTCCCCTTAGGAAAGGGTCAGGTGGCCAACTAGAGGCAAAAACCAGAGCATGGGGATCCTCAGCCTCAGGCCTCCGAGGAACTGTCAGTGATCTCCACATCTGGGTCTTAGGAGATCTGTGTGCTCCCCCACAGCACCAGAACAAACACAGCGCTGTGTGATTTTCAAGGCTTTAGCACTGTATGCCCAAGAACCTCACTTCTTAACCAAACAACCAGTGCCCAACCTCCCTGGCTGCAGGAGTCTTGGCTTCCCATGAGTCTTCAAGCACATTTGTATGGTATGCTTGGTGCTCACCTGCTTAGTGTAGGAACACCCTGGTTTGAGCTCATGAGGCCTTGGAGAAACAATCAGAAACCACTGTTACCATTGGATGAAAAGATTTTGAAGAGCCTGCCCCAAGCTTGTCCAGGAGAGGACAAAGTGAAGCCTTCCTGCTTCCTACTCAGCTCACCTGGAAACCAAGGCATTGCAGAGGACCCAGATCCTCAGCTGAGGATGTCATGCCAGGAGGGGGTTGAGAAAGGCTCCTTGTATATGAAACACCTGGGTGGGCCAGGTTTGGGCGAGGGATAGTAGCACAAAGTCTGTCACTGAGTTGCCCTCCTCTTGGGCCCTCCCCTGCGACATGTCAGCCCTCTCTCCGAACATTGAAAATGCTGGAGAAAAAGGCTTCATCCACACATGGTAGGTGTCCAGGCCTAGTGTGGTTCAAGGCCAAGGAATATCTGCAACTGGGATCTTTTGGTAGTAAGTGGGAAGACTGAACCAACTCTCAACACTCAGGGAAGAGCAAGGAGAAGGTGGGCTGGTGAGGCTGTTTGCAGACCACACCTCCCTCGTGTAATCAATCCAGTTCTGAATGCCAGAAGCCCTGGGAGACCCCAGGGGAGGCTGTGTCCCTGGGAGGATGAGGCACAGAGCAGGGACAGTGACAGCACTCTGTCCCCCACACGCTCTCAGAAATGCACTGTGGAGCTGAGGACTGCAATGTGCTCATCCACAAACTGCCATGTTTCTGCAGGCCAGACCCAGCCTGCCGCTCCCATCTGTGCAAGTGCCATGGGTGCTGGAATACCACAAAGTGGGAGAACACCGGGAGTGTGTTTGGAGGCCACAAGTCCCATGTGGAGGTGTGTCAGAGCTGGGAGGGAAGGTGACAAGGGCTCCCCAGTTGCTGACCCCTTGCTCAGGCCTTAGGCCTCTATCTTGACTCTCCCACCGACCCTGTACAACCTCTGTCCTAACAACAGGCAGCTCCCTACCCTATGCACACTCAAGTCTAACTGTGCTCTCTGTCAGGACATTGATCACTGGGTTAGAACCCATTCTAATTACCTCCTTGTGAATCAGCATCTGCAAAGACAGCATTTGAATCAAATCACACAGTTGTAGCCCATTGAATTGACATAGTTCAACCCATGACACCATCTATCAGCTCAGTCAATACATCAGAGACCAAGGCATGGACAAACCATGACTTCTCTTGTGGGCATGTTAGTGGGAGCCCCCAGTCAGGTAGCATTTGGAGTTAGTTGTCACTGTGATAAGGGGGTGAGTGTCTGCCTCACTGTTGTCAGAGCTGCTGGTTTTCCTGTGGCCTGTTCCACAGGTCTTGAGGTTTCTGGGAGCTCCATGGGGACCGACAGAGCATGCTGAAACCTGTGAGTTGGTTCCCAAACCTGGGTCTCTGCTAACGGAGGTGAATGACCAGCACAGCACGTAGGCAATAGGTAAGACTCGGGCATCTAACCAGCATGTCTTTCTGAAGAGGCTTGTGATGACTGAGGCAAGCCTCTCTCACACTGCGGAGGCTTCCCACTGCAAGGGGCTTAGAATTTTAAACCCCAGTAAGGGAGACAACTACTCCTTCTTCCTGGGGCTGCATGTGGTAACTGTGAGTCACAGCTAAGACTGAGCTCGCACAGCCATAAGGTGAGGGAACCTGTGAAATGAGGGTCTCCAACTTCCTTCAGGGTAATGGCTCCTGAATGCCCAAAAGCCCATTGACCCCACCTCAAAGGTGGGCCCAGAACTCTTCACGAAGCTGGCAGTTTCTCTCAGATGTGCCAGATCCTCTCTCATTAAGGGGGTTAGGAGATGAGCTTGGAGGATTGGCCAAAGACCACACAATGGGCGAGTGGGAGCTGGTTCAGGAACCATAGGCCTTATCTATGCCTGGGAGGAGAGAAGTCCAAAAGACTACAAATAGACTCTTACAAGTCTAAAGAACAGGTGAGTGGGCAGCCAGCAGGCATGTGTCCTCAGAGAGCCTCCCTACAGATGTCCTGCTTCCACACTTCCTTCCAGAAGAACAAATGAGTACTCACAGCCACATCTAACCAGCCAGAAGTGTGAGCCAGTCCCCATTCTGTTGTCCACAGACCTCTCAGAACCTTGGTTTTCTCCTGTGCGAAGTAGAATGGAATGACTCCCTCCACCTACTGTGCCCTGAAAGCCAGGGTGACTCAGTCCTATTTCCTCGCTGTCTGCTACTCTGCAGACTCACCTTCTCTTCCCACATCAGCCCACAGATGCCAGGGAATAGCGTGTAAAGCTCATTTCTGGCCAAACAGCCCTGCTACTCAGCCACAGGCACACCCAGGTGGTGCTATGTCCACTACCCACAGACTGTCCCACCAGACCCCTAAAGTCGTAAACATCCTCATAGAGAACCTAAACAATCAGACAGTGTTGTTCCAATTGTCCCGGGCATGGATTAGAGGATGCTGCAAAGGATAGGGACTAGGCTTGTCCCAGTAGTTGGCTAGTCACTGTCACCCAACCCTGAACTCTGCTCTTTCATCCATGGCAGGTCGATAGACAGCCCCCGCGGGGTCGGTGCGTGACCGCGGCCCGGGCCAGCCAAGTCCCGTGGGGCAGACACCGCCGACCACGCGGCGTGCTCCGTTCTGGTTGGTCGAGGTGGTGCGCTATGCTAATGAACCTGACCCTTCTCGCACCTGCGGGCTGCGCTGCCGCGGGCACCGCGGGACGCTACAGCCCTGCACTGCAGCCCCTATCCCGCTGCAGGCTCGAGATCCTGCCACCTCTAGGGAGGAGACCATGCCGCGCTCCTTCCTGGTGAAAACGCACTCCAGTCACAGGGTCCCCAACTACGGGCAACTGGAGACACAGAGAGGTAGGGGATTCTGGGAACTCCGTCCCCAGCTCTCAGTGCTGCGGGACGGGACAGGAGGCTGCTGGGAAGTCCTTGGGAGCTGGGTCACACCTCTCCCAGGTGAGAGGGAAAGGGGTCAAGTTTTCCAGCACAATAGGGAACTGGGTTCCCTTCTGGGCTAAGACTGGAACTCCAAGAGGGATGTGCTCAGGGCAACTTCTCTGTTTTGGGAGACGTGGACCTTAAGGCTCTTCTCACTTGAAAGTTTCCTGAGCCAGGGTCTCCCTGAAGCTCTCCCTGTGTACTGCCAACACTACCGCTCCAGCTAAGGAGACCCTGAAGGCTTCCGTGTAGGCCTGGAAGAGTCCAAATTTAAAATATGTCCCAGGTGCTGTATACACCCACCCAGGGAAGGCCTCACTGAACCACAAGCCAGGAAATTTGTCCTACCCCCAGAGGGTGGCTGGTGAGAAAAGGCAGGACTCCCCCAGAGCATCCTACCTGGGGGTAGTGAACTCATTGATAGAGCAAGCAGAACCTCTGGCGGCCTTCCCTCCTTCCAGAAACTCCCTTGCTCTCTCCCGGTGCAGTGACCAAGGCAGAGCACTCTCCACACACAGGCTCAAATGTTCAACATTCCTGATAGGCTCAAGGGCTTGAGGTCTGAAGCATCTGGGGCGAGAACCCTTAGTCCTTAGAGCCAGCCTGCTGCCGTAGGTCAGAGCCATCCCTACCCAGGTGGGCAGCTTCTTGGAAAGACCCACTAGGGACTTGCCCAGTGCCTGGGATACTTTGGATCTCAGGGCTCAGGCTGGCACCCCTGACCTATGTGGTCTTACCCAGAACCCCAGTTGCGGGGAGAGGGGATTTCCTTGAATCAGGCCCCATCACCCATGTTGCCACTAGAGGGTGCTATCTAGGAATTCAATTTAATGAGTCACCACCAGTAATTTTGTAACAAAAGAGAAGCTACTAGAGTGCGATAAAAGCTTTCTTTTAGTTGGGCAGTGGGTCTTCTTATAGAGGAGGTAGAAAGTTGTATTTACAGTGAATGCAGTGTTTTTCTTGTACTGAGGATGCAATCAGTGCCTCATACAAGGCTAGTCAAGCACTCGACCACTGAACCGCACCTCTAGCCCCAAGCCATGGTTTTGAAAGTTTAAAACCTTAGGGTACACTCCTACAGCACATCTCAGCTTACCACTTAAATGAGCAAATCAGATTGCCCTGCAGGGCTCTGTTGCGGGGTAAGGGTTTGTTCAGAATAGCCTCGAAGCCCCTTAGAATTCCATCTTGGCTTTCCCAGGACACCATGGCCCCAGTGGCTCTCCTCCTATCAGGATGTCACCCTAGAGTAGGACCTGAGGTGCTGAAGTAAACGCCTTTTAAGGGGCCTCAGAGATTCCTTGAGCCAGAGTGCACTGAGGACCTCATCTCCCAGGTCCCCCGCTCCATGGGTCCCTGTGCTCTGCCTGGGTCTCAGCGGTACAGATTTGCCTGCAGACAGGACCCCAGTGAAACTTCCCAGAATGGTGGCCTCATCCTACTGTCCAGAGCTTTACTGACAGTCTCCGCTATCCCACACTCCTCCCCAACCAGAGTATTGTGTGTTTTATATGCCAGCTATACAGTTAGGGGGAAATGTGTGAAAGAGCTCAGGTAGGGAGAGAGTAAATGGATTTAGCTTTCTGGTTCTCCACATCCTCACCAACACTTGTTGCCTTTTTTTTTTTTTTTAAACTTCTAGCCATCCTTGTAGTATGAAGAGGGATCTTAACATGGTTTTAATTTGCATTTTTCTGCTATCTAACGATATTGGGTATTTTCTTGTGTGCTTATTGCCCACTTGTATATCCTTTTTTAAATTAAGAAAACTATATTATTTGTGGGTGGGTGTGGATATGGGGTATCATGGCGTGTGCAGGGAGGTCAGAGAATAACATGCAAGAGCTGGCTTCCCCTTGCATCATATGGGTGGAGATAAAGCTCAGGTTGTCAGAGTTGGCTGCAAGCATGTTTGCTTGCTGAGCCATCTTGTCAACTTCACGGTGTGTTGTCTTTGGAGAAATAGATATTCCTATATCCCTCCACTGTTTTTAAGGGGGGATGTCCCATTATCACAGGCTAATCTTGAACTCTGTAGCTGATGACTTTCACCTTCTGATCATGGTGCCTCCACCTCCCTAATTAGGATTACAAGTGTACAATGTCACACCCAGTTTGGAGAAGGAACCCAGAACTTCTTGCGTGCTGGGCAAGCACTCTACCACCTGAGCTATGTTCCCACCCTTCTGTACCTATTTTTAAATTGTGCTATTAGACCTTTCATTGCAGCTGTAAAAACTTTCTTTGTACATATACTAGTTTCTTTTAAAAAACTTTCATGTACATTGGTTTGCCTGTATGAGGGTATTAGATCCCTTGGAACTGGAGTTACAGACAGTTGTGAGCTCCCATGTAGGTGCTGGGAATTGAACCCAGGTCCTCTGAAAGAGCAACCAGTGCTCTTAAACACTGAGCCATCTCTCCGGCCCCCATATACTAGTTTCTAATTGAGCATTTCATTTGGGAATATTCCCTCCCAACCCATGGACTGCCACTTCTACCCAACGCATTGTCATCAAGGCAGAAACAAGGCTAGAGATTTGTCTGGCACGGGTGGATGGAGGGCTGATTGGTGCTTCTGTCTTTGGGGAATCCAAAGTTTGCCTGGTCTTTTTGCATGTGGGGAGGGATACTGGCATTATTTGATTAAACACATGAAATTCTGACTACAAATACAGGAGCCACAACCAAAAGACACATAAAGCCAGGACTAGATCTGATGCTGCCTAGTTAAGCAGCTGCCACCAGCTCCAGCCACTTTCCTGGCTGGTTGGACATGTTTGTGCAAGTTGACAAGTAGCAAGTGTGTGCTGTCCAGTGGCCAGGGACGTGGCTGAGCACAGCACATCATGACACACTCAAGGAGACGCCACAGGGGTGGGTGACCCTGTGGTGACTGGAGGCTAATTGCTGTAGGGGTGGGTGGCTGTTTTTACCAGGTTCCTTTTGTTCTGAGCTCATACTTCTGTGTGGGAGTCCAAGGGTGCTAACCCCAGCTGCTGCCCACTGTCCGGATGTAGGACTGGGGCTCTGTAGACAAAATGCCCAGACACAGACTTAGAGCAAGGACTCCTGTGAGGAGCTGATTCTTGGGGTGTCTTATGTAGCCCAGGCTGGCTCAGACTTGAAATCCTCCTGACTTAGTCTCCTGAGTGCTAGGTTTTCAGATGTGTACCCCCATGCCTGGCTATGCAACTGTTTATGTTCCTAAGTACTGGAGTTCCTGGAAGATATTTCCCTTTCCTCGCTTTAAACAAGGAAACCCAGTCCCCTTTCTAGTGTCTGGATTTGCATAGTTCATGCATTCCTCGGATTTTGCCTCCCATTATCAACACCTTGTATGGATCAGAACAGTAGGTGAAGGTGAGAAAGCCTGGCTGCTGTAGGAATGATGGGTTCATAGTAGGCATTTGTAGCTCTGGCTTCCTGCTGGCTGCTGATGACCTAGAAGACTGGCTGGACTGCAGTTAGATAAATGAGCAGAGGTTTGTAAGCCCAAGCACTGTGGTCTAATTCCTCACTGTGTGTTCTCTCTCCCTTCTGCCCTTCTAGAAGCTGATGGCTCCTGCTCTGCCTGTGAGGAGCCGGTGGGATCCTGCCACCTGCCAGATGAGGAGGCCCCTTCCTCTCCCAGTGACCCTCTACAGCCCTGGGACAGCACCTCTGCCATTGCCTGCATCTCTCTGCCTCTTCTGCCACAACACGGGGAAGCTCTGGGAGGCTCTGGGCCAGAACCCCAGGAAACTAGCTGCATGGGCCCTCGGGCTGGCCAGGCCCCCAGTGTTCCCCTCAAAGACAGCCTCAATCTGCCCCCGCTGTTGGTGCTGCCCACACGGTGGCCCCCAATCCTAAACCCGGATGGAGCTCTCGATAAACAACTAAGGGCTGAGGGAACATCTCAAGTCCCAGATAGTTTTGAGTGCATCCACTGCCACAGACCCTATCATACACTGGCCAGCCTGGCCAGGCACCAGCAGCTGCACTGCCACCTGCCGGCTGGGCCCACCTTCACCTGCAGGTACTGTGACAAGGAGTATGCCAGCCTGGGTGCCCTCAAGATGCATATCCGCACCCACACACTGCCCTGCATCTGCAAGGCATGCGGCAAGGCCTTCTCCAGGCCCTGGCTGCTCCAGGGCCACATCCGCACCCATACAGGTAGGATGGGCAGGGCTGCAATCCCAGAAAAGGATCTGGGTTGGAGAAGGGGCTGGACCATGGGCAGAAGGAAGGAGAGGCTGGTCTCCACATTGGCAGGGTCCTGGCCTCTCCTGCAACTGCTGACAGACAAGAGCACCACAAACATGTCACCTCAAGGTCCTGAGGCCAGAAACCTGAAATCCAGGCATGGCCAGGCCACATTCTTCTAGAAGACTGTAGGAATGACATTTCTTGCCTCTCTTGTTTCCTGGAAGCCACCCTACTCATTGGCAATTGGCCACATCTGTGTCTACCCTGACCTTCTAACATCTCCTCCCCATGTGTCTGTATCTCCACTGTAAGGGGAGGGAGACCCCTGTAAGTCATAAAACTAGGCTCCACACAAATGGCCTGAGCTTAACTCTGTCATTTTTGCAAAGGCCTCATTTCTGAGTAGGGTAGCTGTCAGGAAGTAGGTCTGTCTTGAAAGACAAGACTGAGGACTGCAGGTCTCCAGGGGCGCCTCTCTACCCACCTTTGGTGGCTTCAGGGCCAGCAAAGTGTGTGAAGGTGAAGAAGCCTGGCCACAGTGGAGACCCCAACAGGAAGGGCAGACTGTAGATTTGGAGAACTGTAACCAGATAGGATACAAGTGCCCCTTGTGGGCTGCAGAACCAGACACACAACACGCAATGACCCCCTTGCCTTCCACTTGGAAGGGTTATCCTGGAAGCCAAGGTCCCAGCAGAAAGATTTTGTTCCAATCCTTAGTGGCCCTGATGGAGATGGTGCCTGTGTCCAGGAATAGAGTGCCCTCCATCCAGCTCTGTCCTCATGGTAGCTCAATATTATGCTGGTCAGTGGCCAGGAAGGGCTGCCAGAGGCTCCCAGTACTTCTCCTGGTCACTGCCTTTGTCTCAGAAAGTCTGATACTGTGATCTTTTCCAGAGTGACACTCTGACTGTCCAAAGGGCTCTGACCTTGGGTGCTAGGGCTGTGATGACCCAGGGGCAAGTTACTCATTGATAGACAGGGACATTTCACCATTGGCCACAGCCTGTGAGATTTGCCCTAGCTCTGGTCCCTCACCCGGCTTCTCATCTTCCTCCCACAGGTGAGAAGCCCTATTCTTGTCCTCACTGCAGCAGGGCCTTTGCTGACCGCTCCAACCTGCGGGCTCATCTGCAGACTCATGCCGGTACCAAGAAGTACCGCTGTACTGTCTGCTCTAAGGCCTTCTCCCGAATGTCTCTCTTGGCACGGCATGAGGAAGCTGGCTGCTGTCCTGGCCCCTAGAGGCACAGCAGGGTGGAGGGGCCAAGCCTGACAATATTCTCAGTGGTTCTGTATCATCCAGGACAATCAGAGGAGGCAGGGGCTTAGCCCACTGTTACCTGTGTCCATCCAGATGCAAGAAGCCCTGTGGAGCCTTTGGGCACCTTTTTCCAAGGCCTACATTCAGTAGATTCACCACAAGACTCACCAAAACAATAACTAACAGTTCCATTTTCAGCTTGGCCTGTCTGCTGGACCTGTTACAAAAAAGAGAAACTATTGGGAAGTGACTACCACTGGACAAACCCCACTATGACACCAATGAGCCTGGCCAGCTGGGTTCCTTTGTGTGCAACTTGAAATGACCATTTTTACTTGAGGAGAGCACAATGTGTGTATCACCTTGGGAAGCACAGCTACCTCTCAGCCAGCCTCACTTGCCTTTGCCCTGGGGTTTGAGACACATTTTCTCCTGCCCCTATGTGCACATGCTTGTGTACACATGAACACACACACATCCTGGATCCTCTCCCTGAGACAAGGCAGGGCCAGGGAGGATGGGGCTGAAGCCAGGTCCTGCCTTGTCTGTGCCTCATCTCCCTCGCTCTGCTTGGAACTGGCCTCAGTGGCTCTTAACATCTCAGGAGAGCAGCTGTGGGGGTGACAAAGTCCTCCTGTCTTGAGCCTTGAAGTCTTGAGTCTTTACCAATCCCCTAGATCTATGGAAGAGGCAGACTTCTCCAGGGGCAATGGGATTCTGGATAACCTGGGCCCTTCTGGGCATAAAGCAGGCAGGACACTGAGTGAAGGCATCTTGCCAGAGTGTTTCAGAGCCCTGTGAGCAGTGAGCTTGGGGCCTTCACTGGAAGAAATGGAACCTGAGAGGGAAACTGCATGAGGTGGCTTGACCTGGAGAAATGAAGATGAGCGTACAACTAACACCAGGATTAAGGGCCCACGGAGGATGCTTGGATGGGACCAAGGCTGACAAATGGTAGGGTGGCTATGTGCAGCTGAGTAGCATCCCGAGCACAGCACAGGACAGGGCAGGACTTGCTTCTTCCGGTGGATATGACTGCCTCTAGTTGGCATTTAGACAGAAAAGAGACTCAGAGAGTCCAGAGAGAGAATTTTTAAGAGTTTTTCTTTTTTCATTTTCCAAGACAGGGTTTATCTGTGTAGCTTTGGAGCCTATCCTGGCACTCACCGATAGACCAGGCTGGCCTCAAACTCACATAGATCCACCTGCTTCTGCCTCCCAAGTGCTGGGATTAGAAGTGTACACTACCACCTCCTGGTTAGAATTCTTGACATCTTTTAGGTAAGAAGCTGTGGTCACTCCACTTCTGGCCCAGGACAAGGGACATGAGTCAGCACCCTTTGTCCAGGCCCAGCAGCACAGGTTCCCAGCTTCTCCGGAGCTTCCAGAAGCCTTCTAGAAAGCCCATGGGTCATGCAGGTACCTTAGCCCCTGGTTTTACAGCTGCTTCAAGCCAGACTTAGTAGTGAGCATCTGGCTGTGGTTTGCTGGTGTTAGGATGGCTGTCTAAGAGGTCTTGGGGACTCTCAGAGGAAACTTGACCTATTTGGAGAAAGTCTCAAACAGTCTCAGTCTATAGCCCACACTGGCCTTGAGCTCACAGCAGTCTTCCTGCCTCAGCCTCCCAAGTGCTGGGATTATAGGCATCAGCACCATTCCTGGCTTAGAAACTTGACCTTGAGGTTGGGCTTCTAGACCAGGAATAACCGAAAATGCATAAATACCCCCACTCTGACTCCTGTGAGAGAGATGGCTGCAGACTGATTGTACCAGACCTATGTCATCTGGTAGAGGAACACACTTTTGAGACAGACACACTCATGTTTTCAGACCAAGACCATTGCCTCCCAGGGGAATGGGTAGGAACTGGACGTGGGAGTACCCTCTGAATGGAAAAGCACCCACCAAAAGTTCTGGAGGCCAGAAGTCTCAGCTCAAAGTGACCTTCAAGGCAGCAGGTGGATGTTGTCCTTGGCTTGTAGGAGGAATTCCTCCATTTCTGCCTCAGCTATCACACTGCCCTGTCCTGTGGGTCTCTCCAGAGTGACCTTATCTTAACATCTGCAAAGACCTACTTCTAAGGTTGCATTCTAAGGTTCTAGGGGTTAGGATTTCAACATGGATTTGGGGTGGAGGACTGCTGTTCAGCCCAAACATCTGAGAACATGTGTTTTGACAAGTCACCCTCCCTGTGACTTGTCCTCTTCGACCTAGGCAAAGGGATCTAAATGATCCCTTCTCAAAGTCTACACAGGATCATAGGATAGTCAATTACCTGAAATAATCTCATAGATTGGGTAGGAATCCCCCTCTACCCCCACCTCCTCTTCATCTCTCTGTCAAAGCAAAGGAAGTACTCTTGTCTCCAAATGTCTGGCTCTTCTGGAAGCAGGTCAAGATCCCCCAGGCAGAGGGGCCCTCAGAACCTCAACCAACACGAGCCTGGATTCCTCACAGGAGTGTTCTTTTAAAATAGCATCCAGATGCCCAAAGGAAACTATATTGTAGATTGTGTTCTATTTCTGGTTCCTCATGTCTAAATGGGGCTGTCGCACCTGTTGGGTATGAAGCAGGGAATCTCACAGCCTAAAATAAAGTGGAATGTTTTCCCCCTTTGGTTCCAGCCCATGGAAAATGCTCTTGTATTTATATCTGGGCTGGTGGAGGGCTGAGGTAGCAGAGGGTGGGGGTTGGCAGAAGGAGCACGAGGAGGGTACCTGCCAGGGAACTGACATGAAATGAATGGAGGACACTTTCCACTCGTCGGGCCAGGCTGAAGTCAGGTCACAGTGGCTGAGCAGCCCTGCCTACAGACACCTGTGCCTGCCCAACCAGCCTGGCACTCCATGACTTTCTCCTTCGCTGCCCCTCCTCATTTCACACAGCAGAGCAAAGGAACTGGGGAGTTTGCCTCTCACTTGATTTCTGGGCCCAGTCTATGACTTGCAGGAAGGGGGTGGTCCCATAATCTTGGTCAGCCTTTTTTCTGGGGGTTGTTTGCCTTTCCTGTCTATCCCCTTCTACCAAATTACTCTTCAAAGTCCCCTTTCCTCCTCCTAAGGAGGGTCTTTTGAGAAAACTTCCAGGCCTTCTGTTAGAACCCCTCTCCAAAGTGGTAGACATGGGCCCAGGAGAGTTGGAAAACAGGTGGTTTAGTCAAGGGCCAATTTTATCTATTGCAAGCAGAGGCTTAAAAGCACAGTGATGGACAAGATAAATATATAACCTATCACATCCTTAAGCTGGCTGTCCTCCCAGGAGGGTGGGGCGTCTCACAGGACAGGTACTTGCAGAGAGAACGTCTGGGTCTGAGGGCCACCACTGTTCTTCCAGTCAGGGTTGGAAGCAGAGACCATCTCTGGCTTTCTGGAAACAGGTGTGTGAGGGACAGCAGGCCTTTAGGTGACCCAGCCCTTCTCTGGGCCCACAGCCTGTTGAAAGAAGCCTCTTCAGAAAGCCAAAGAGGCACTAAGGTTATGGCTTTTGCTTCCAAAAGCCCAGTGGATTCTATAAATATCATTTTGGCCTGGAATATTCTAGGGGGTTCTCTAGATGCTTGAAATAGCCCACTTGTTACTATCTATACTCAGAGCACCCACTCCTGGCCACACCCACATGGCTAAGTATAGCTCACTGGCGGAGCTCGATGGAACACAAGTTTCCAGGCTGCTGTGACTGTGGAACATCCAAGGAGAGTGCATGGCTGCTGAGGCAAGCAGCCACACCCTTGCAGCCCAGTCCTGAATATCCAGTGTCTGCTCAATTAATCATATAGCTGCCTTCTCCATGTCTAGAAGAACCGCTGGCACTGGAGAGATGGCTTAAGGGTTAAGACAGATACATCAGACAACTTACAACACCTGTAACTCCAGCTCCAAGGCTCCAAAGCCCTTTTCTGGCCTCCATGAACACCCACACACATGTGACATACAGGCACACATACATAAAAAAGAATCCTTAAAAAGAGAACCACACGAAGTTCTATGTCAGAAGTAAGAGCAACAGGCATAAAGATCTTCAGCTACAGAATACAACTAAGGCCTGGGGTTAGCCTTGGCAATGAATTTTATATCTTACTTTATGTATCTCTGAGCTGAGGACATGGTTTAGTGGTAGGAGACAGGCCTAGCATGACTAAAGACCCAGGGAAATGAAAGAAAGGGAAGGAAGAGAAGGAGGATAAATGAATCCTTAAGGCATGTAAAACACAATCACTGTACCTTAAACTCTGTTAGAACAGTCCTGCCTCTTAAAGACAGTAGTCACTCTAAAAGGTCAGATCCCATACCCTGAATAAATCAGACCACACCTTCCTGCGGCTCTCTTTGGGACAGAGTTAAGAAGTAGTCTGTTAGCTGGGCATTGGTGGCACACACCTTTAATCCCAGCACTCGGGAGGCAGAGGCAGGCAGATCTCTGTGAGTTCAAGGCCAGCCTAGTCTACAAGAGCTGGTTCCAAGACAGCTTCCAAAGCCACAGAGAAACCCTGTCTCAAAAAACCAAAGGAAGTAATCTATTAGCTGGCACCAAATCTACAAACATCCTGTCATCTATATGATAAAGCCTTTTCCCAGATAATGATCAAGATAACACCACAATGCAATGTCATAGACCACCATCTCATAATGATTAGTGGGGTTACAAAGATAGCCCGGGAGAAGCACCCTGAAAGCGTCGGGTCATCATAGAAGTTCACAACTAGTAAGAGTGTAAGGTAAAACTTGAGCAAGGTCTAACACAGCAGGGCAAGATACCACCCATTTGAATCAATTGCTTCCTCTATAAATCAAGGTTGGGTATGATTGTGTGGATAGGAGGCACTAACTTCTTAGCTCTCCACAGTCCTCAGTCATTCTCTGAGCCCTTCTGCCTCCATTTGCTGAAACCCTTCTGTGTGGCCTCCCTGTATTTCTCCACCGCTGATGAACTCAGTGCGGCTCAGCTCTACCCAGGGCTGAGTGGCCCTACCCACGCATTGCCCTCCCCTGATGCTCCTTCTGGGTCTAGAGACTGTGGCTATAGCTGCAGCTGTTGCCTCCACCCACCACACCTGGCTACTGGAGGAGCTTGTGGCCTGGTAAATAGTCTTGACCCTTATTCTAACTGTTTGCAGGAGGGGCGTATACCCTGCTTAGTCAGAGGATAGAAAACTACCCATCCCTGGGAAGGGTTTGCTCTTCTTCATGTGAATGATTTTACCACGATGCCTTCTGTAAACTGCTCCTCATACTCTAAAGCCTTCCAGTGGCTCCTTAGTACAGAAGTTGTCAATTTTTTCCCTAGAACTCAGACAAATCTTGACTCATTTGCTCTGATTAATCCAGATCTCTCTCGCTCCCTCCCCTTCTCTCTCTCATCTCCTCTAGGCCACTCTCCCACTCACTAACATTCTCTAGCCTAGGAGACTTCCCTTCTTCATAAAACTTCTACCCCACCAAGGGGCCAGCAAAGCTCCAAGCCAGATTCAAAGTCCCTGCTGAATCTAGTTCTTCCTTGAGTATCAGTGAACACTGTCCTCTCAGGCCCTGTGTCTTGGGTACCATACATTGCTTCCCTCATACCTGGTTCCCTAAGCTCTACCTAGCTCTATTCTCTATTGGCCTCTAGCCCCTGATATCCACAAGGACCTCCATGCTGATGACCAAGTGTCTTAGTCAGGGTTTCTATTGCTGTGATAAAATACTCTGACCAAAAGCACCTCGGGGAGGAAAGGGTTTATTTGGCTTCAGAAGCCAAGGCGGGAACTCAAACCAGGCAGGAATTTGGAGGTTGGAGCTGATGAAGAGGCCATTCCATGGAGGTCTGCTGCTTACCGGCTTTCTCCTTGTGATGGGGATGCCCCTCTGTATGCTGTGAATATGTTTTACTACCATTGGTTAATAAAGAAGCTGATTTGTCCAAGCAGCCAGGCAGAATGGGGCCAGGTGGGAAATCTAAACAGAGATACAGAGAGAAAGAAGGGTGAGTCAGGGAGACACCATGAGGCCACCAGAGAAGCAAGATGTGAGGTAACAAGCCATGAACATCATGATAAAAAATAGATTAAGTGGGTTAATTTAACTGTGAGAGCTAGTCAGTAATATGCCTGCGCCATTGGCCAAACAATTATAAATGAACAATTATAGTTAATACTAAGCCTCTGAGTGTTTATTCGGGACCTGGTGAGCAGGAGAGAAACCTCAATTTACAATCTTGTAGCTTGCTCAGCTTGCTTTCTTATAAAACCCAGGATCACCAGCCCAGGGTGGCTCCTCCTACAATGCAATTGCCCCCATCCCCACCATCAATTGCTAATTAAGAAAATGGACATATCTGGGTGTTGTTGGCATACACCTTTAATCCCAGCACTCTGGAGGCAAAGGCAAATCATTCTCAATGAGTTCAAGGCCAGCCTGGCCTACAGAGCAAGTTCCAGGACAGCCAGGGCTACAGAGAGAAACCCTGTCTTGGAAAAAAGAAGAGGAGGAGGGGAAAATGCTGTAATGCCCTACAAGCTTGCCTGCCTTCAGCCCAATGCTTATAGTTCCTTCTTTTCATATGACTCTAGCTTGTGTCAGGTTGGCACAAAACTATCTCTAATGTCTCCTATGAGCCAGCCCATCAGGGATGGATTCCTCCTGTGCAGCCTCAGGTATGCAGCGGGGTTTCGAGGATGAATGTGTGGTTACTCTCTCACTTTCCTGCTTCTTCGTTGCTCACGCTGATCCCACCTGCCCCCATAGCCCACAGCCTCACAAGTCAGACTGTGAGAGAGTCTTCTGTTAACCTGTTTAAAGTTTTCCCACGCTGAATGCTCTCTGATTACCTGATTTCCCACATCCATTTGCTAAGACCCCTGTGTCTGTGCACACTGTGCACACCTTTCTCTATGGAAGGAAGAGCTTGAAGGGCATCTTCTGTGGTCTCTATTTCACTCTTCCTCTTTACCACCTGACTCCTCCTGTGATTCCAGGCTTCAGGGTTCCAGAAGGGGAATTTTTAATGCAGTATTCCTTTACCCTTCGGCCTTCAAGCTCTGAGAAGAGGCAAAGTAACACTGCCATCTCCCCTCTCTTTTATCCAGCTTACTCTCTAGATTAGAGGCCAGCACAGAGGATGTGAGCTGCCTGTGACTTCCTCCCTTTGCCCTGAAGTCTCCCTCCCTCTGGGCTGCCACCACAGCCTCAGATAGATCTTGTGTTACCCGTAGCAGTGGCCAGGCTGCCTCTGCAGCTGCTTGCTGATATCCCTGCTCCAGGGTTTGTGATGTCTGCTCCAGACCTTCAGCTGTTCTTAAAGCATCTTTATACTCCCTGGGCAAACTCTACCCGTCAAACACTCATGCCACTTCCTACCACCTAGATAAAGACTGCCAGCGCCACATTTCTCCCACAGAGCCCCCCACTTAGGTGGCTTCACCTTATATGTCTCACTACCTCTGCACTGTACCAAAAGGCACATAACCACACCACATGCAATGGAAGGCCATGTCAGAATTTCCTCTTCGCATGCTCTGTTTTTTAGGGAGAGCAAGGTTCAAGACAGGGTTTCTCTGGGTAGCCCTAGCTGTCCTGAAACTAACTCTGTAGACCAGGCCGGC